CCTCTCAGTCTTAAGCCATCCTCCCACCTCAGCCTCATGAGTAGCTGGGACTACAGGTGCATGCCACCATCCCTGGCTAAATTTTGTGGGTTTTTTTGAAGAGATGGAGTTTTGCCATGTTGCCCAGGCTGGTCTCGAACTCCTGGACTGAAGCAAATCCACCTGCCTCGGGCTCCTAAAGTACTGGGATTATGGGTGTGAGCCAGCACACCACCTGGACTTCTTAACTAATATCTAGAAGAGAGAGCTGTTACTTTGGAAAAAACCCTCAAGCTATTTTTGTTGTTGTTGTTGTTGAGACAGAGTCTCGCTCTGTCACTTAGGCTGCAGTGCAGTGGTGCAATCTTGGCTCACTGCAACCTCCGCCTCCCAGATTCAAGCGGTTCTCCTCCTCAGTCTCCTGAGTAACTGGGATTACAGGCACGCACCACCACGCCCAACTAATTTTTGTATTTTTAGTAGAGACGGAGTTTCACCATGTTGGCCAGGCTAGTCTCGAACTCCTGACCTCATGTGATCTGCCTGCCTACGCCTCCCAAAGTGCTGGGATTACAGGTGTGAGTCCGTGCGCCTGGCAAAAATCCACAAGCTATTTCAAGGAGAGAGGAAACCAAGATGTTCTGAGTGAGTAGAGGAAGAAGTTGAGGAGGGAGCTGAGCTGGACCAGGGAGCTGAGCGGGACCCTGGATGAGAGCATTTCAGGAAACTCTGAACCCCAAAAAATGACCCCAGTGAGCACACTCTCCCCAGTGCTGCAGACACTGGAATAACCAAATATCTAACTAATCACGTGAAATCTTCAGAGTTAACAATTCCCTAAGATGTTGACAATTTAACTAAAAAATTTCTAATCTACTCCCAGCACTTTGGGAGGCCGAGGTGGGTGGATCACCTGAGGTCGGGAGTTTGAGACCAGCCTGACCAACAAAGTGAAACCCTGCCTCCTAGACCAGAGAAAATTTGGCTACAGTTATGTTATGTCACATATACATTATGTGACAAGGAAGCAATATTAAAAAAGAAGAACCCACAAATTACTCATGTTCAAAGACAAAAAAAAATTCTAGCTTTCAAGTTAGAAACTGAAAAGTACCAGAATTTTCTATTTTTATTTTTTTTTATTTTTTTTTATTTTTTTAATTTTTATTTATTTATTTTTGAGACGGAGTCTCACTCTGTCGCCCAGGCTAGAGTGCAGTGGCGCAATCTCGGCTCACTGCAAGCTCTGCCTCCCGGGTTCACGCTATTCTCCTACCTCAGCCTCCCTAGTAGCTGGGACTACAGGCGCCCGCCACTGCGCCCGGCTAATTTTTTTCTATTTTTTAGTAGAGACGGGGTTTCACCATGGTCTCGATCTCCTGACCTTGTGATCCGCCCGCCTCGGCCTCCCAAAGTGCTGGGATTACAGGCGTGAGCCACTGCGCCCGGCCAAGTACCAGAATTTTCTAACTGCACAATCTAAAAGCCAATCCATTGTTGCCTGCTAATTAAGCCACCACAGGGTTTCATATAATTAATAGTGAATCGTCTCTGAATAGAAAAATGAAATAGTTGCAACGTGCCTTTACATAAACATGCATTTTAGACAGTCTGTTTTTAAACTATAGTATCAGGACAGACTTCCCATGTAGAAGAGATGATTCATTATGTTTTGGGTTGAATGCTCTCTTTATTTTCTTTTCTCTCAGGCTAGAAAAGCTTTGGTTTCTATAATTACTTCTCATTTATCTCTAGTTAAATGTGGGTGAAATTTTCTATTAATTAAATTTGAATTCATTCTAATTGGTAAGTTTAAAACAATGACAGGAATAAATTATATCACATATTGCAACCCAAATAAGACTGAATAAAACAGATACATTATGTGGCAATGAAGCAATATTAAGAAAGAAGACCCCCAAAATTATTCAAGTTCAAAGACTAAAATAAATTCTGGCATTCTGTTAAGATTTAAAAAAATAATAAAAATAAAAATAAAAAAATTAGCCAGGCGTGGTGGCGCGTGCCTGTAATCCCAGCTATTCAGGAGGCTGAGGAAGGAGAATCGCTTGAATCCAGGAAGCGGAAGTTGCGGTGAGCCGAGATTGCACCACTGCACTCCAGTCTGGTCGACAAGAGCAAAAAAACTCCGTCTAAAATAAATAAGTAAATAAAATAAAATAGAAGTTTAACTGACACATATTGTATGTATTTACAGAGTACAATGTGTTATTTTGATCCATGAACATATTGTAGACAGATTAAATCAAGCTAAATTTTTGTTTTTGTTTTTGTTTGAGACAGAGCCTCGCTCTGTCGCCTAGGCAGGAGTGCAGTGGCACTTGAATCGCTTGAACCCGGGAGACAGAGGTTACAGTGAGCTGAGATCATGCCACTGCACTCCAGCCTGGGTGACAGAGCAAGACTCTGTCTCAAAACAAACAAACAAACAGTTACCTTCACTTGTAGGTTTATCACAGCACTACGCGCAATAGCAAACATAAGAAATCAGCCTCAATGTCCATCCACAGAGGACGGGCTACAGAAAATGTGGTACATATACATAGTGGAATACTACACAGCCATAAAAAAGGTCTTTGAGCCATGAAACCATGTCTTTTGCTGCAACAGGGATGGAACTGAAGGTCATTATCTTAAATGAAACAGGTCAGACACACAGTCAAATATTGCATGTTCTTACTCACATGTGGATGCTAAAAAATGTGTTCATGTGGATGTAGAGAGTGGAATGAGAGAGCAGACATGGTAGGGTGATGAGAAACTACTTAATGGCTATGATGTACATTATTGGGGTGATGGATACCCCAAAAGCCCTGACTTCACCACTATACAATTTATGCATGTAACAAAATTACATGCCCTCTATAGATGTATTTATTTATTTATTTATTTATTTATTTATTTATTTATTTATTTACTGAGATAGAGTTTCACTCTCGTTGCCCAGGCTGGAGTGCAATGGCGTGATCTCAGCCCACTGCAACCTCCGCCTGTAATCCCAGCACTTTGGGAGGCCGAGGGAAGCAGATCACCTGAGGTCAGGCGTTCAAGATCAGCCTGACCAACATGGAAGAACCCCATTTCTACTAAAAATACAAAATCAGCCAGGCATAGTTGTACATGCCTGTCATCCCAGCTACTGGGGAGGCTGAGGCAGGAGAATCGCTTGAACCCGGGAGGCGGAGGTTGTGGTGAGCCGAGATCACGCCATTGCATTCCAGCCTGGGCCACAAGAGTGAAACTCCGTCTCAAAAAAGAAAAAAGAAAAAAAAAAAAGATGGGGTCTTGCTATGTTGCCCAGGCTGCAGTGCAGTGGCTATCCACAAGCAATGATCACAAACTACAGCCTCTAACTTCTGAGTTCAAGGGATCCTCCCACCTCAGCCTCCAAAGTAGCTAGGACTAGAGGCACATGCCACCACCTGCAGCTGCATAGATTTTTTTACAATCTTTATCTTCTTAATTTTCTGCCTTGGCAAGGGCAGAAGCCCTGACCACGTTGTTTACTGTACATCCCATGGGTGTTTGACACAGGCATTACCACCCAGCAGATGCTCAATAAATATTTGCCAAACAAGCAAGGGAATGAATGAAGGAAGTTAGTGTCCACAAGACATGCCCGCTTCACCCTTTGAGTTTGGAAACAAAGCAGATGACAGGAGCTGGTGGCACGTACACTCCCAAATGTCCAGTGCCAACACCTCACCCTGCTCTTATTGGCTGGCCAGGCGGGAGCTGACTCGTACTTCCTCCAGTTCCCCAGCAGAATCTGTATGGCACTTCCCAGTTGCTGGGAGGACCCCTTCTCATTGCACAGTTGGCCTCATGACAGCCTCGCCCTACTGCTCTTCATGGTCTCCTGGGCACACACCTGTGGTGTTAGCCAACTCAGGTAACATCATGACCGGCTGCGAATCTCGAGTGTTCACAGAAGCGGCTGGGAAGGGCAGCAAGGAAGCGTTCCCGTGGGGCCAGACCGGGAAAGCCCAGAAGGCTAAGGTGCTCTCCTGAGCTCTCCTGAAATATGCAAAGAGCACATTTGGGTCCAGGAGGTAGTGACTTGGAGGGTCTCCAGCAAATGACTTAAAAGAGGCATCCTCCACCTGATGCTTTCAGTGAACCAGGCATTGTGTTAAGTGTTTGCTTTGTGCTATCTCTCTCTCTCTTTTTTTTTTTTTTCCACATGGCGTTTCGCTCTTGTTGCCCAGGCTGAAGTGCAATGGCGCGATCTCGGCTCACTGCAACCTCCGCCTCCCGGATTCAAGCGATTCTCCTTCCTCAGCCTCCTGAGTAGCTGGGATTACAGCCATTCGCCACCACGTCTGGCAATTTTTTTGTATTTTTAGTAGAGACCGGGTTTCTCCATGTTGGCCAGGATGGTCTCGAATTCCCGACCTCAGGTGATCCACCCGCCTCGGCCTCCCAAAGTGCTGGGATTACAGGTGTAAGCCACCGTGCCTGGCCTTTTTTTTTTTTTTTAAACAGGGTCTTGCTCTGTCACCCAGGCTGGAGTGCAGTGACGCCATCTTGGCTCACTGCCGAGAGGGGTTAACCAGGCCGAAGTTGCAGTGAACTGAGATCCTGCCACTGCACTCCAGCCTGGCGACAGCAAGAATCCGTCCAAAAAAAAAAAAAAAAAAAAGGAGGTGGAAGAAGAAGAAACATCCACTAAACCCTTACATCATGTGGACGCCATCTTTGCTGGTTAACTCCTGATTCTCTTTCCCTAGGTTCAGCCTACTTGCCTGAATGCTACATTCTTCCCTCATCCTCGCATCATCCTGTTTTATTGTGACAATTTGTTTCAAACTTCTCTTCACTGTTTGACTCTGAACTGTGTGAAGCTGCAACCAATTTGCCCATCCTCTGGCATAATTTGCCCATCCTCTGGCATCAGGCACAGTTTCAACGTCTACTAGACCAATGAATAAAGAATCAAAGACAATTAAACACTGGCAGGGCCAGTGTCTAGTTAGATGATTAAAAAGGCAAGGACTTACTGTCTCCTGTCCTGGTGGGGGAACGTGGCCGGTGCTGCAGTCCTGAGTGTGCAGGGTGTGACTGCTCAGAGGGCACGGGATACACTGGGGTCCTGGGGCCTCCGGGGTCCCATCCCTGGCCTCTGGCGTCCAGCCTCCAGGAAGTCATAGGACCCTCTGACCTCGCAGGTGACCTTGAAGGAACTGGGCTGAATGGTGCCCTTCTGATCAGTTTTCTCTTGTTTGGTTGCCTCTTTGTGTCCAAAGAAGCATCACTCATGTTCCTGAATCTGGACAGTGAGCGTATCCCCGGGGTTCTCCCACAGGAGATGGGTATATTAGGGCACAGGTCTTCTGCAGAAGGCTGAGATGTGGGTACATGGTGACCACCCAGGATTTCTGTGGCTGCAACCAGGCTTAGCAGGAGTCTGGTGTCCAGATGAGTAATTCCTCCTGGGGAGAGGAGAGAGGTGAGAGGATCGGTGTTACCTCTTCAGTGATTTAGAAAACTCAGAGCCACAATTATACTTCAGAAGAGGCAATCCTCTGTAAGTCATCCCTGAATAAGACCCCAAATTGCAAACAAACCTTGCAAACAAAGAGCTAGTCTAGGCCGGGCACGGTGGCTCACCCCTGTAAATCCCAGCACTTTGGGAGGCCGAGGCGGGTGGATCACCTGAGGTCAGGAGCTCGAGACCAGCCTGGCCAACATGGTGAAACCCCGTCTCTACTAAAAATACAAAAATTAGCTGGGCATGATGGCGGGCGCCTGTAATCTCAGCTACTCGGGAGGTTGAGGCAGGAGAATCACTTGAACTTGGGAGAAGGAAGTTGCAGTGAGCTGAGATCGTGCCGTTGCATTCCAGCCTAAGGGACAAGAGCAAAACTCTGTCCCAAACAAACAAAAAAAAGAGCTAGTCTAGTGCCGATCTGCCCATTTCTGGAAGTTACAATAATTAAAATTGAAAATAGTAGCCCTACCATTTATGGAGTCACCAGTGTATGCCAGCATTGACCATGCTTCCTCCCAATCTTTACAACTCTTGTCAATATTGGTAATGTTTATAGCAGTATCCCTCAAGATTTGATTCACATGGGAATCATTTGTTAAAATGCAGATTCTGATACAGAAGGTCCTGCTGAGATTCTTCATGTCTAACAAGACCCCAGGTGATCATTCTGCTTCACAGACCTTGCAGAGAGTTCGAGTAGATATATGTGGGCAAACTGAGCATTTAATAACTATTTGCTGGATGAATGAACGGATGGTGGATGAGTGGACAGGCAGATAGATGGATGCATGAGCAGATAGATGGATTGATGAGTGGATGGATGGGTGGGTGGATGGATGGAAGAATGAATGGATGAATAGATGGATGAATAGAAGATGGATGGATGAATGAAAGATGGCTGCTTGGATGGAAGAAGAGGTGGGTGAGTGAGTGCATGAATGGATAGATGGATGAGTGAATGAATGAACGGGTGAGTGGATGAATGAATGGATCGGTGAATGGATGAATGGGTGGGTGGATGGATGGAGGAATGAGTGGGTGAATAGATGGATGAATAGAAGATGGATGGATGAATGAAAGACAGTCATCTTTATTAAATATCGGATGAATTAAAGAGGCAATTTTCCCAACAAGCCTCTGAAATGTGGTTATTAGAAAATAATTATGCCCTGGAAGGCCAGCTCAGGGCCAGGCATATCATAAGTTCTTAGTAATAAACAAGCACCTTGGCACTTGAAAAAAATATCCAAGGCATGAAGGTTATTCTCACGTTTTTCTTTTCTCTCCTAAAGGAGGTTGTAAGTCTCTCATGTGAGAGCAGCCCTCCCTATCTCTGGAGGAGAGGAACATCTTATCTCTGAAGACACAGGACAGAAAGAAGAATCTGAACAAACAGGCCTGGCTAAGTTCTCCCATTTTCCTGGCAGAAGATCCTTTTTTAATTATTATTTTTGTTTTGTTTTGTTTTGTTTAACCCAATTCTACTTTTCTATGACTATCCACCTCTTTATCAGACCTAGCATGAAAAATTACACAGGTTGGCCGGATGCAGTGACTCACCTGTAATTCCAGCATTTTGGGAGGCCGAGGTGGGCGGATCATTTGAGGTCAGGAGTTCAAGACCAGCCTGGCCAACATGGTGAAACCCCATCTCTACTAAAAATACACAAATTAGCCAGGGATTACAGGCATCTCAGCCCTTTTAGATCATGCTCACCAGGCATCCTCCCTGGCCACTGCATGGTTTCAATGACCTCCCTTGCACTTGGAACATCCAAACCTATAACTCCAGACCCCTCCAGAATCAAATACTCAGCTAGCCCTTTGGAGATAGCTGACCGACTCCAAGCCTAACATGGGTGCAACGGAGCTGATCACTGCTCTAGGCGCCGCTTTTCCTCTCTCTTGCTGAATGATTCCAACATCCACTTATTTGGCCCAAACACCTAGAGATTACCCCCATCTTCTTCCCTCATCCTCAGCCCCAAATACTATATTTCCTTCATACAACACCTGCTATCACTTATAGTAATCACTTACTGGAGGCCCTACCCCCCAATACCCTTAGAGCTCTGTGAACAAACAGATGTGGGGAACCAGGCTATGCCATGCCAAAATATGCCCCTTTACCATAAGGACTGTTGAACTGAAGGCAGTTAAGAAGTGGGCATGGGCTGGACGCAGTGGCTCACGCCTGTAATCCCAGCACTTTGGGAGGCCAAGGCAGGTGGATCACTTGAGACCAGGAGTTCGAGACCAGCCTGGCCAATATGGTGAAACCCCATCTCTACTACAAAAAAAAAAAATTAGCCAGGCATGGTGGTGGGTGCCTGTCATCCCAGCTACTCGGGAGGCTGAAGCACAAGAATTGCTTAAACCCAGGAGGTGGAGGTTGTAGTGAGCCAAGACCGCACCACAGCACTCCAGGATAGAGTGAGACTCCTTCTCAAGAAAAAAAAAACAACAACAACAAGTGGGTGCAGGAAGGCTCTCTGCCCTATTTGCCCAAAAACAAATAGAGACACAGGATAGAGAGCTGACTGTACTTGGAAATTGATAAGAGAGTAGATTTTGGGGGTTCTCAAAAAAAAAAAGTATTTGAAGTAATATATATGTTTTGTTCTGTTTTTGAGAAGGAGTCTTATCCCGTCACCTAGGCTGGAGTGCAATGGCACAATCTCGGCTCACTGCAACCTCCACCTCCTGGGTTCAAATGATTCTCCTGCCTCAACCTCCCAAGTAGCTGGGATTACAGGCACTCGCCACCATGCCCAACTAATTTTTGTATTTTTAGTAGAGACAAGGTTTCATCATGTTGGCCAGGCTGGTCTCAAACTCCTGACCTTGTGATCTGCCCGTCTCGGCCTCCCAAAATGCTAGGATTACAGGCGTGAGCCACCGCGCCCAGCCAATAATATGTATGTTAATTAGCTCAATTTACTCATTTCACAATGTTTACAAATTTCGAAACATCATCTTGTACATCATAAACATATACAATGTTTTGTCAATGTAAAAATAAAAAAGTGCCGGGTGCAGTGGCTCATGCCTATAATCCCAGCACTTTGGGAGGCCAAGGCGGGCAGATTATTTGAGGTCAGGAGTTTGAGACCAGCCTGGCCAATATAGTGAAGTCCCGTCTCTACTAAAAATACAAAAATTAGCCAGGCGTGATGGTGGGCACCTGTAATCCCAGCTGCTCTGGAGGCTGAGGCAGGAGAATTGGTTGAGCCCAGAAGGTAGAAGCTGCAGTGAGCCTAGATCATGCCACTGCACATCGCCTAGGCGACAGAGCGAGACTTCGTCTCAAAACAAAAACAACAATGACAACAAAAACAACGAAAAAACACAAAAAACCCAATGAAACCCTAACTCACTGCACTCCAACCTGGGCAACAGAGCAAGACTCCATCTCAAAAAAAAAAAAAAAACTTAAAATTACACACATGACTCACATCATATTTCCACACTGGGTAGTGCTATCTTGTAAGTATCCACATTTTACAGTGAAGAAAATTGAGACACAGAGAGTCTAAGTACATTCCCAGTGTAATGCAGCTGATAAGTAGCACAGCTGGGATTTGACCCCGGACCATGTTGCTTCAAAGTCAGAGGACTTAGCCACTAGGATATAGTGCTGAGTGCTGTGGTCTCCATATCCTTCATACATCATTGTGGGAAGGGGTAACTGAGGATCAGATACCTGCTCCCCAAGGAAGCCCTTTCACCTCAATTGTCCACCCTGGACAGGAGGTGACCAACATGTTCAGACTTGTCTGCCTCTCCCCTGCAGATTCTCAACCAGGGCCGATGTCAATCTGCTTCATTCCCATCACACAAGCAAAAGGAAACTATTTGTGAGCATCAGGTGGAAGAAAAAGTAAGGTGTGGAACAAAAAACAATTGTATTTCTGGATGATTGCGTTTCAAATAAATGAAACTCACTCTCTGTGAGTGTGGCCTGAGGGACAGAACCAGGGTCACCGCCCGGCTTCCAGAAACTCCTATTTCCAGCAGAAGGGCCCTCAACGGATCAGGGTCACTGCAACTGAAGACCTGGCCCCTTCCTGGGACTTCAGGAGCTGGCTTCCCAGGGAGAAGATAGAAGAGGAAGGTGAGCTTTTTTCTTTGTCTTTTTTAGAACACTTCTATCTGGAACCACACACCCTTGTCACTAACGCCACGCTGACCCACGGTCAGAGTTACTCATGGTCAGACTCATCCACCCTAAACCTATCCTACACACCCAGATGCAGCCATTTCCAAGCCCTTACCCACTGCTGGTATGCTCACTCAGGGATGTGCAGCCTCAGAGATACACTTCAACAGCATCTTCACACAAACCCCCGGACCCTCCGAGACCCACCTTCTTACAAACATACCACCAGTTATTTGGCCCTGCAACAGCATCATTTTCTTTTCTTTCCTTTTCTTTTAATTTAATAATTGCAGGGGGGTTTTGTGGTTCTGTTTCTAGTCACATATTCCCTTGAAAATCATGCCATAAAAGCCAGGTGCGGTGGCTCACGCCTGTAATCCCAGCACTTTAGGAGGCCGAGGCAGGTGGATCACAAGGTCAAGAGTTCAAGACCAGCCTGGCCAACATGGTGAAACACCATGACCTCCAGCCTGGGCAACAAAGAGAGACTCCATCTCAAAATAACAATAATAATAATAATAATAATAATAATAATAAAAAAACAAAAGCTTTAAGGAAAAAGCCACCAGATGGGTAAACCATATGTTCTTATGTTCAAATAAACCAGTTATAACAATATATATTAGAAATAATGGGGACTGGGTGTTAGGGGACATTAACGAGGCATAATCAGTTTTGTTGCATGTGGCAATGACAAGGTAGCTGCAGTGGAGTTGTAACAGCCACAAATCTTCCCTTCCATTGAAAGGTAGAATCTGCTTCCCCTCACCTTGAATCTGGGC